GAGCGGTAACGCCGGATGGTGCGATGGTTTATGGTCAGGTACGGAGGTTCATAGCGGATAACGGAGTGGTCCCGGTTCATGACCCGGCGGTGGTAGGAGACTACGTCTACGTGGGGACCACTTGGATAGGGTACGATGAAATTTCGACAATTGCGACCAAAGTCAGATACGCTAAACAGAAAGGTCTGCTCGGTTACATGTCCTGGCATGTCGGAGGGGACGACAACTTTGCTCTCTCTCGCACAGGTTCTTGTCTGTTCGCTGTTTCCTCTATTTTTCATTGTTCTGTCAATTTTCAGGGAGGAAAGTAAAATCGAAGACTGAAATTAATTTTTATTCCTTGGCAGCATCACAGACATGGGATGCTACGGTGTCGGATGTGTGAAAGAGAATCAGAAACGACGCAGAAGTTGCTCTCTATGGGTTACCAATGGCTGCTCTACAAAAATAAAAACGCCATTAATGGCCTGTACACGTTTACTTTCCTGTGATCCTTCCTTGGTGAAAACCCGGATGGGTGGCTTTGTTTGTGTAATTGTGTATGTATTTATGTATTGCGTTGTGATTGCGAGTGAATGGAGTGATGTTTGAAAGAAAACGTGTGTGTGTGTGTGTTTGTTGTGAGGGAGTTTTGTTTGATAAAACCACCATACTTAAAAAAAAAAGAAGATACAAACGATATACACACAACACATAATGAATAATTAAAAAAAAAAGAAGAAGAAGATGAGATTTAAGGTTATGTATCCATATTGAAATCGATATAAATTAGATTTGGGTTTGGGTCGCTTGGTTATAATGATATTCCTATAATTCAGGGTCTAGAACTGGTTGAGATCCATAAACTAACCGAGAAACTGGAGAACAGCCAAAACTGATAACACCTGAGTATATGGCACAAACTACTAAACTATCTGGTACCTTCAAGATGGCGCTCCGAGATAGGAAGCAAGTCTAAGTATGTCGCTGAATATACCACCAGCCGTGACTTGAGCTCCGGCGCCAGGCCCACGCACAATGAGCGGCTGATCCTTGTACCTCAGCGTTGTGAAAGCTATGATGTTGTCTGAACCCGACAGCTGTGCAAATGGATGCTCTTTCTTGTATCTGCGAAGCTCGACTGTTCCCTTTTCGTCAATCGCGTCCACCACACCGACATATCTCAGTACCTGTAATGGAAGACCGACGGGAAAAGGAAGGGTTTCAGATGTTATGATTCTGAGAGGATGCAGTACCGGCATGGCTAGAAAGTTCGAAGATACTTCTCCCGATTTTTCAGCTTCCTGTCTTTCTTTGGCCAAGTCTTTGTCAAATTGTGGTAGCTTCTCCATGAATTCTTCAGCAGATGTGCATGCCTGAAGCGAAGGAGCAGAAGATATTAGATGCATCGAAGGATTGTCAGGTGATTTAACAAAAAAAAAAGGGGACATAGTCGTCACTTTTAAAGGTTCGGGCACGAGACTTCTAATGGGTAGGTCAGAGAGGTCCAATCTCAGGCCGGATTCTCTAGCGAGAATTATCACCTGCATAAAAAATGGTCCAACTCCTCCCATTGGTGAAAATCACAGCTAGCTTGGGTACAACAGCTACACGAGAATAGAGACCGAGGTCAATACATAAAAAAAAAACATTACCTTCCTAGCAACATCAGTTCCAGATAGATCTTCTCTTGGATCAGGTTCAGTGTAACCGGCCTTTTTTGCTTCTGCCACTACCTCACTGAAATTTCGACTTCCGACAAAATTGTTGAATAAATAACTCAAAGTCCCACTGCCAAAAGAAGAAGAAGAATAAATCACCAGCACGAGAAAGGAACTTAAACACAACCTGCAGTGCTATAAAAACGTTATGGCATACACAAACCTGAAAATGCCCTCTATCCGTAGTATCTTGTCTCCGGTCTCAAGGAGACCTCTTAAAGTGCTGATAATTGGAAGACCGGCTCCAACAGTGGCTTCATAGAAGTAATGAGTGTAGGATTTCCTTTGAAGAGCTCTCAGCTTTTGGTACTGAATACAAGTAAAACATCGTCAACAGAGAGAACCTATGAAAAACAGTAGAATATTTTCTATTTGTTTTCTAACTGATATTCCAAAATAAATTGGTGTGATAAATATCACCTGGTCAAGGGGCCCTGAGTTAGCCTTCTTATTTGGGGTAATGACATGCATGCCTCTCCGTAACCAATCATAGTAACGGGTAGCGATATTAGAGTCTGCAGTACAATCAACCAAGACAGTGTTGGGAATAAAATGATTTCCATGCACGTGCTGAGTGAATTTATCCATATTAGCCTCTTCTCCTCTCTCGTTCAGAAGTTCTCTCCATCTCGACAAGTCAATCCCACTGGAAGAACGAAACATTAATGAAGTTATGAGACAGAACAGAACAAATCATCTGCCGTTTGAAAGAGGGACTAATATCCACCTGAGAATGTTACTCTACAAGCATAGATTTCAAAAATCATAAAATTGACAACCAAAAGAGAGTATAGGTTATGAATAAGCCACACAGATGTCTTACTAAAGATGTGTAGCCACATAGACAAACAAAAAAATAACAACTAGGGGAAAGGAAGTCCTAAAAACCAACTTCGAATTTAAACATGTCTAAAAGCCAAATACATGGACGCCCTGCTGACACAACCAACCCAAGCTGTGACTGAAGAAGGCATGTGAGGATTGAGAACTTCTAGAGCACAATTGAGTCATAGTATAAGCAATAAATCGGTGTATCTGCCAACAAAGCCATATCACAAAAAAGGAGCATATAATCTCATAGAGGATGATATCATTCTTACATGTCACTTAGCAGCATAGTTCTTGATCCAGTAATTCCCATAACACGCAGATCAATGTTAAATTCTCGTTTGAGAACGCCAGCCTGGAAAATTAAAATTTGATGTTTTATCAGCCTCTCAATTTGGACAATTCGACTGAAAACGGCGATAATTATAAGATAAACCCAACTAACTGAGAACTGAACTAATACACCCTGGGAATGGAGCTTCTACACTTCAGATTTATTGGCAGGTAATTAGAGAACTAGAACCTGAATCATGCCTATTGTGGTGGAAGCCAAAAGGGAAAATCGAATTTGCCAGGCTCAAATTATATCAACCCATTGAAAGATCTCCTTTTCCAGCTTTTATGTTGCCAAGACAAGAAGTGGTTTTACATCTTTAATTTTCTAAACACATAAACTATTTGATTTATTATGCAGATTTCTTCATAAGGCTGGTGGGACATGAGATGTTTTTGCCGAGATTTCACTAATTTATGTAGAGAAAAGTGTGCATGATAACAGCCACAGCAATGATAAATATAACTAGAGAGTTGAGTTCACCTGGTCCCTAAGCTGATCAAGTAATGTGCCACCAATCAAGCCTGGACCTATTATTCCCATTGCTATGGTGGTTCTTGACAGAAAAAACCTTGAATGCACAGCTTTTAGCGCCCTTACGCAATCTTCGCGTCTGACAACTACAGTAACATTGTACTCAGAACAACCTTGAGCTATAGCACGGACATTAATATTAGCCTGCAAGTGAAAAGGAAAACTATCAGAACAGAGCACTTTAGCGAAATGAGATATTGAAGAACGAAATCGTCCTATTTCAAGCATGCACGATAATCACCTTCGCAAGGGCGTTGAAAAGGGTAGCACTAACTCCAGGTGTACTTGACATTTTTTGACCCACTGCTGCTAGGATGCTACAATTAGGTATTACCTCGATCTGGAAAAGATGTTTGATTTGAGAATAGACTAACTCTCCAAAGCAAAATCACTAAGTTCAACAATATATTTGACTAGATTAAGCAGGTAAAACCTGAAATGTCTTCAGAGGAAAACAAAACGGCACATCAACAGAAAGAGGGGCAAAGAGAGAGGGAGGGCAAAACCTGGGAAAGACGTCCTGCATTTAAAGCTTGACTAAATCTAGATCGCAGTGCTTCAGAAACAGCTTTCACCTCCTTTTCGGGCACAGCAAAGCACACAGAATGCTCACTGCTAGCCTGAGTAATATCCAATATTATACAAGTCCCTAAAGTTTATAAAGGGAAAGATTGGTGAACCATCAAGATTGAAGTTTGAATTTGCACCACCTGTGATATCATAATCACATTAGCTCCAACATCTTTGACAGCACCGAAAATGTCACTAGCAGTACCAGGTACACCAGCCATTCCAGTACTGAGGAAATGAAATGAAAGGATGCAGTCAATGAGATAAGAAACAAATTCAGTATGTCTGTTCACGAGTAACAGAAAAAAAAAAAAAACCCCACATAACCATGACTAGATTACCCTTCAACATTTACAAGAGCCAAATTGTCAATAGTTGCGAATCCTTTGACAGGGGTCTCCAAGTTATAGTCATCCGCATTTTCAGCAGAAGCAGGTTGGCAAATCATTGTTCCCGGAGCAGAGAGATTGAATATATTTCTAATCGCAATCGGAATATCATATCGCATCACAGGGATAATAGTACGGGGATGTAGGACATTTGCTCCAAAATAAGACTGAAAAAAAGTGATTTTGGTCAGAAAGATTGTATATGGAATGATACCCCTAAAACCAAGAAAGTAAGAGCTGCTGGATTGACCATTTCCCAGGCCTCTTGGTATGACAGTGTCTTCAGTATCACAGCCTCGTTAACTGCAGAAAACACTCTTTAGTGTTACAATTCCTGACAATGTAGCAAGCATTTCAATCTTTTTCAAAATATAATCTGTAAATGTAATTTGCCTGTTCATATCATGGTGATCATCTGGTCCTCGAGTTAGAACACAGAACAGCTTTAAATAAATTCATCAGCCAGTATCAATAACTATCGACTGACAAGTTCACTGCACTTTGTATAGGGTATTTATTAGAGCACAATATTTGGAGCACCAAGCACTCATGAAGCTAGAGCATAGAATACAATGATTGAAAAAAAAAATGAAAGGATGGCTGAATTACTCAATGTGCCCAATAAGACAATAACTTTTCAAACACTCTAGCCCCTCTATTATGGTTTCTTCAGTACAACAACAACAACATGGCCTTATTTCCAAGTTCATTTGGGGTCGGCCGATTATGGTTTCTTCAGTAAGGAGTAAAAAGTCAAGTTTGCAAAGTTATGCTACCTTTCATGAGCTATAACATAAGTCTCATAATTGGTGTCCAGAAATATGAGAAGAGAATAAAGCTTGGCACAAACCTTTCCGAGGATCTGCGCTGTATACACCATCCACATCAGTCCAAATTGTGACCTGGCGAGCCCTTAAAAGGGCACCCATTATAGCTGCTGAAAAATCACTTCCATCTCTTTTCAAAGTTGTTGGGATGTTCTGCGGAGTACTAGCAATGAACCCTGTTGCAACAATTACTTTCGATGGATTTTGCGAGAACCATTTTTCAATTCTTCGCTCAGATTCAGCAAAATCAGGATCGACCTGATTAGAGCTGGTGGGATTGACAATAAGCACATCTCTAGTATCCATCCACTTGCACTCTAGCCCAGTCTACAGCCAAATGTAAAAAGCTAGTAAGAAACCTTACACGTGATATATTTAACGAAGAGCAATCTAACTGCTTCAAACCTTTCTGACAACAAATGATAGCATCTGAGCAGACCATAGCTCTCCATGTCCAACAACAAAATCCGAAAATGACTCAGATGCATGGCCAGCTACAAAGAAGAAAAGGATATCAGTTCTTAGTCCCACTTTAGAAGACTAAAAAAAATAATGCATATGAAATGTCTCATAGTAACTACCTAAGAACTTTAAGAGAAAAAAATGCTGAGAGAGGAAATGTTTGAAAAAATCAAAAAGACCACACACAAAACACATCTATTGGCTGTTCCATATATCTGTGATCACACTACGACAGAGAGGACGACTACGTAAATGGCAGAGAAAGTATCATCTAGCTACCTATGTATATGGCACGGAGCATTGCTTTGAGGTTATTAACATCTTTATGCAAACAGGACAAGAAACTCGCAAGATCTGCTCCATCAAGAAGATCGCGAGCTGTCAACCGATGCTTTTCCAGAACAGCATCCAGCGCGTACACATACGAATCATCCCTTGACTGTGCCTTGTGGATTAGATCATACATCATATCTGTAACCTTCGACATTGCTGACACAACAACCAGCTTCCTTTCTGAATTGTCATTTATGATGACTTCAGCAACATTCCTTAACCGTTGTGAGTTTCCCACACAAGTCCCACCAAACTTGTGAACACTCCACATATCACCTCTAGGGAGTTGAACCTGGTCCACCGATGTCTCAGTTGATACGCCTACAAACAAATTGAGCAGCTTTTTGTTTCAAAACGCGAGAATACAACGAAACCCAAACACTAATCCAACACAATGAAGTAAAACGAACCCGTAGTTGAAGCCGAAACACGAAAATCCGGGAGTTCACATCGGAACACATCGCCGCCACAAATCCGCTTCCGAGAACTGGGCAAAACAAAACTTGTAGCTGCTACTCGTGGATACGTAGACCGAGAAACACGGACAAGGCATTGCGGCGGCAAACATCCGAACCTGATCGGGTTACTCGCTGCCGGAGAAATAGAAAATGCCGGTCTCGGAGCAGCCATAGTTAGAGCATACCTGCGCCGAATCACACTCCATTACAGATTCTACAAACCAATGATAGTTCAACGTAAAAATATCGCAACTCAGGCTGTAAATCGAATAATCACTCAATAAGCGACCCAAGCGTTTCTACATTTCACCAAGGAACCTCTCCAGAACAGAGCACAAAGTTCGAAAGCCCTAAGTTTTTAAACGCAGAACGGAAAACGGAAATGAAGGACCTCACCAGGAATTACTTGGGGCGGAGCGGCGGCGGGGAGAGTTATGCGGGGATTTGCCGGCGGCCGTACATATAACGAGGGGGGGGGATTTTCAGCGGCGAACAATGATGACTCTGTAACCTCGAACGAATAGCATACTGCCACGCGTCACTTATAAAAAGACGACAAGAAAGCAAAAATTATTTTTGTTGGTTTTTTTCACCGAAGAAAATTGTTGGGCCTCAAAAAGTCACATAAGAGCCAGTGCTGAATCTACCATAAGGCCCATTACAATGATTCGGGCTCACATTTCAAACCCTATTAGTATTTTCAAACAACACCAGTTTGGACTCTCATTATATATATATATATATATATAACAATTCAACTACAAAACTAACCCATATCTCTTTTTTTTTTTCCTTTTTTTTTTATTTTAAAAAAA